TAGTGCCCTGCTTCCAGCTGGGGTTCAACCACCAGCTTTCGAGGGACCGAAGCTCCATTCCCTAGGCAGCTCCAGAAAAGCCCAGAGGCCTCCAAGCCTTCCCATCCTCCACCTCAAGCTGGCTCCGCTCCAGCAGTCACGTTTGGCATTCGTACAGCACCCCAGTCCTCGGGCTGGGAGTCAAATGGGGCAGGGCTCTTAGATATAAATGGCCTGGGCCGACATGCTAATTAATCCTAGGGCTTAATACGAAGAAGATTAGAAGAGAGGAGGGCTCTGCCATCCTTAATTGCACTATTACACCGTGCACCCAAGAAAGGAAGGCAAGTTTGAGATGCGCTCTCCCTCAAGGCAGTGAAGAGACCAAAGTCCAATTCTATTCCACTGTGACAAGGGGCAGGTGAGGACAGGTCACTCTTCCCTTTTGCTGCCCATCTCTCTAGGGTGATGCTCACCTGCTTCTGTCTCAACGAGGCTCCAAAAATTTTCATCCCTGAGGTTGGTCTAGGAACATACCTATCCCACCCTGTGGAGGAAGGACCAAGGTTGGACATGGGAGGGGCACACATCACCAGTACGGCTCCCTTTTTCTCTCAAGGGCACCCTATCATGGAGGTCCCCTAAAAGCAGGAGGAGCAGGAGAAGGAATAAAGGAAGCGCTGGTCTACTAGGAAGGACTGCCTGGAAGAGTGCTGGGGCAGGCAAAAGCACAAAGATAGAAAATAGTTTTGACTAGCCTGGAGGAGTCCAGACTACAAAGGGTTAAACCGGGGGTGAGTGTTGTCCTCAGAGTCCCCTTCTCTGCTTCAGGGTGTACCCTGACTGCCTGGGTGCTGGGTCCTGTGCACGCACTGAAAGACCTCAGCCTGGTTAGAGGATTGTACTCTGCCCCCATTCAGATGGGGAGTTCAAGAAGGTCTGGCTCGAGGGAGAGAGGAGGAAGAGGACAGACCCTTTGGGCTTTGCCATGGCCCCTAGCAACACCTGAAGTACAGAAACCAAGCGGGATCTGAGCTCCCTTCACCCTCCTGATAACCACTGGCCGCCCAAAGGTTGCTCCAAGAGGAGAGCCAACAAGGAGGAAGGTGGCTCTAGCTGGGTAGAGCTCTGTTTGGGGTGCACCAGCCGCTGGTACCTTTCGAACCCAGGCGGCCCATGTCTCAGCCTGGAGCGGGCACCGGGCCCTCGGTGACGTTGGCTCCTTCGTGGCCTAGCATGGCCCAGCCTCGCGGGTCAGCTAGCCTGGGACACGAAGGTGCTTCCTCTCTGCTCAGAGTGCTGCCCCGCAGGGTGCCCTGGGCGGCCACAACAAAGTTAAAAGCCCAGAGCAGGTATCCACGGTGACACTGGAGAGGCGAGAGGCGGAGAAGCTGGAACCGGAGGAGCCGCGCACAGATCGCCAGCCGCCGCCAGCTGCGGAGGGATTTCGGCTAACTTTCAAAGCCACGCGCATCCCTCGGTCGCAGTCCCCGGCTGCGCTGGGCCGCCTCCTGCGCATCCTTCCCCCAGCCTCCTTCGCTACTGGCTAAAAAGGCCTGCGCCTGGGGTCCCGCTGGAGTGACTTGCGGAGGACCGCCCCTCCCCTGCCCCACGCCACTAGGCTGAATGGGAGCCACCCAGGCCGAGGGCGGCCAGGAGCGAGGACACCCGTGCCCTCGTCCTGCGAATCCGTCTCCCGAGCCCCAGCCGAGACTGATCGCCACTGTCCCCCAGCTTGGGACCAGACGTCCGTGGGGGGCGACAGGGGGGGAGAAGTTGGCGCCTTCCCCAGGGCTCCCACTCTGCGCGGAAGCGGGTCCCAGAACGCGATCTACGGCCAGCCTTGCTTACAGTCGCCGCGAAATTCCCCGGAGGCGCGGGCTTGGGGCTGAAACCTTGGCCACAGTCCGCCGGGTCGCCTTCCCCGGAGCGCGCCCAGGGCCGCTCTCCCACCGCGGCCCGGCTGCCTTCTCCCCAGAAGTGAGGCCCGCGACCCCGGCTTTGGAACTTTATCCTCCTGGCCACCAGCTCCCAGTAGCCACCCAAGCTGGGCAGCCAGGAGAGGGACTGGGACAATCTCTAGGGATGGCTTCCAGAGTCCCTCCATTCCGCTCCCCACCCGGGTGCGCACAGATCCCCCCGGCTCCAGGGGAGCCCTTACCGATCCGGATGACGTGGGGCATCCCGCGCGAGTCTGGGATCCAGAAGGCGCACACGAGGAGCCCGGCCCAGTATTCCCAAACCAGACTCCGGAGGCGCCGCCAGGGAGCGGTCATCGTTGGGCGCCACCGAGCGTGCCCGGGGCGCGGCCGTGGCGGGCTCCCTGGGGCGGCAGCTCTAGGCGCGGGCGCGCAGCAGCCCCCGAGGCGCCGCCTGGC